TTTTTTAAATGTTTAAACTTCTAATTATCTTACTCTCTTGGTACTTAGATATTTGAGTAATTCTCTTGAAGCATTTGAGAAATTAGTAATTCATGCTGCAGTTAGTTTGCATCATGAAGTTTTGCTTGCTCCTACAGTGCAGTAAGGTCTGGCTGACCAAGGAAGATTAATGAGTTGGGGAAAGAAAGGTTCTAGGAATAAGTGCAGAGATTTGATGACATTGAACTGGTCAGGTTTTCAGTGAATATTTTCCTGCTTAATGAATGCCTCCTTTTAAAGCTTCCAGCAGCTAGATTGTATGTAATAAACACTGTGATAAGGATAGTATCTTGTTTTCAAGTATCTCAGAATTTTTTTTTTTTTTTTTTTGGTACCGGGGATGAACTCAGGTCTTTGAGCTTACGCAGCAGGTGGGGAAACCACTGAGCTAAATCCCCGCCGAATATCTCAGTATTAATAGTAATATCAAATGTTAATGAATATTCACTATGCTTAAGACCCTGTTCTACTTTCTGTATAAATTCCTTTAATTCTTGCAAAACCCTTTGAGTTGGGAGTGATTATTGTTCCCATTTTTTTTCTCATGCTGCTGTATTTTGCTATTCCTATTTTGTTGACTGGAAAATTTGGGAGCTGTTAATTCATTGTAGTTGAGATACTTTAAATTGCAGCCCCCCCCCTCCCCCACTGAGGTTGAACCTAGGGCCAAGCAAGCCCTCTTCCTCTGAGCTACATCCCCAACCCTTTTAAAATTTTATCTTGAGGCAAGGTCCTACTGAGTTTCCTGGCTAGCCAGCCTCAAGCTTGCAATCCTGCCTCAGGGTTCTGAGTAGCCTGGGTTCTGGGTATATGCTACCACACCCAGCTTAAAAATCTTTTAAATCTTTGTAGATTCCCTGCTTCACAAACTGTTCATGGAGTTTTTGTGTTTTAAGAAGGAAATGGAAGCCATATTTTTAAACCAATGGTCATGCCGTCAGTAGGACAGAATATTTTCAATTTTGTGATTATGAATTTATCAATCAGAGGGTGCCAAACTTTAAATACAGTGAATGTGATTTGATCTTATAAGTAAAAACATTGGGAAATTAGATAAGTACAAGGCCTTTTTGGTTTTAGTAAATAAATACCTCATGAACTGGTATCTTGTACTGCTAAGTAAAATTTTTCTTCTATTGAATATGTTCCGATGTATTTGTATTTAAAAGGTTTCTTCCAATGGAACTCAGATTAGTTATTTTATTTATTTATTTTTTTTGGTACCGGGGATCAAACTCAGGTCCTTACACTTGCGAGGCAGGCGGCGGAACCACTGAGCTAAACCCCCAGCCCTCAGATTAGTTATTACATAGTAAATGCACTGCGCTTTTCAATTCCTTTTAGGATGGGGAACAGCACATCATCCTTGGGGAAGTCAGCAACTACGCCTGTGAACCAGATCCAAGTGAGTAAGGCAGGAGACTTAGGGGAACTTCTTTTCTCTGCAGAAAAAGAACTATTTTACATACTTAATATGCTTCCTCATTGCCTAAACTTGACATAGTTCAGCAAATGAATTGCTAAATTGATATATAAATTAATCACATGATATTGAAGTTCTATATCATTTTGGCAGTCAAAATTTATGAGACTTATTCTTAAAGGAATCTTTACTGCAAATTGGATCTATGAGGTTGACTGCTATTTTTCAACATATCCATGTCAAGTCTACCCATACCCATACTGATAGCCAGGGATGCTGATTTTGGCCTATGCAGTTGTTTACCAGCTCTCTAACATAACACAGAACATAGGATGCAGTAGTTACTCCATAAACAGTCTCCTCAGGGATACCTCATATGGTACTGCTATGTTCTTATTTCCTCTTTCACTGACAATCTTAGTTAATGCTGCCTCAGAAGATTCATACATATACTTTTCTTTTCTTGCAGCCTGTCAGAAATAACCTAATTTTTCTTTCTCTTCCTTACCACCTTCTACCATCATGTGTGAAAAATTTCTGCCTTGGTGTGGGGGCATACTACAGTGGTAGATCATGTGCCTAACATGTGCAAGGCCCTGGGTTTGACCTGTCATACCACACCCACACCCCACACCCCCCACGATCTATATTCAGTTGGCTAACCCCCTAGCCCTGGAGTGTAACAGTAATGCTGGAAACACTGTGAGGGAATTACCTCTTTTGAAATAAAAATATAGCATAATGAAATATTTAGCAAGAATGAGCTTGAGAAAAGGTGGAATGAGGGTTCAAGAAACCCTGACACTGTCAGCTTGAGTTCCAGTTTATTTTGGCATGTCTGTATTAGTTTCACCCCATGTCAGCACCCAGCATGCTCATCTCTCTCTAAAGCAAATGGTCAGAGTGTGCCTGTGACCTGAGGCAGCATAGTGGAGGAGCATTAGCTTTGCTCTTGTGAGTGGGTTGTGTGAAATCCAAATATTGTGAACCTCAGCTTAGTTCTGTCATCTGTAAAATGGATTCATTAATACATCTCTGGTACAGCTGGCCTTCCCCGAGATAGACTTTCATACCAAATATTATGAGTAAGCAGAAGGGAAAGCATAAAAATAGATCAACTTGTAGATAGGTACCCTGGAACTCAGGACTCTTCTGACACCCAAGGGTAGTATAATTTCTAAAGCACTTTTGGTACTGGGTTTTCTGTTTTAGGCTATCATCTTGAAGGTGCTGCTATGACCCACCACATAAGAACAACCTAGACAGATGCCTGGGTGCCAGACTTAGAAATTCAAAATCAATCTGGATGCGAGACCTGTCCAAAATCTTTTCAAGGACCCAAACACCTGTGTATTTAGAAAAAGACCCACAGACTTCACAAGCTGTTCGTACCAGGTTTTCGTACCAGTCTCAAGATCATAAGAGGAAGTGTCTGCTGTATAGGAATTGGCTATATTATTATTTTTTATTACTACTCCATGCCAGGCACTATTTGTAACACTTTTGTTCCTAATATTAATTGGAAATGAATAATATCCTCAATCTATACATATTAAAATGGGTCATAGACACTTTCAGAAACTTTTTGCTTAAGTTATGAGACTCCAAAATCTATAGCCTTTTCACAATACCATAATTTCTTTCTAAAACATGATGTCTAGAATTAAAATGTTTTTGTTTTATCTCAGGAAACAATTTCCGATAATTGTGTGGTGATTTTCTCAAAAACATCCTGTTCTTACTGTACAATGGCAAAAAAGATTTTCCAAGACATGAATGTTAATTATAAAGTGGTAGAACTGGACATGCTTGAATATGGGAGCCAGTTTCAAGATGCTCTTTACAAAATGACTGGTGAAAGAACTGTGAGTATATCCAGAGCTGTGCTGTCCCTTATACTGTAACAGGTGTGGCTTGGATCACCTAGAGTCTAGACCAGTGGTGGCAAGCCTATGGCATGTGTGCTGCAGCAAGCATGCAGAGAGCCTTCTGTCAGCACTCGAGCCAAGTTGTCCAGCATCACCTCAGCAGTGGAGCAGCCAGGGGCAGGGTTGGCACTTTGTGATAAATAGGTGGGCTTTGGGTTGCAGTTTGGGTACTCAGTCTCTGAAAGGTTCACCATCACTGGTCTAGACCTTCTTTTTTTGGGTACTGGGGATCAAACTCGGGAACCTGCGCTTGCGATGCAGGCGCGGAACCACTGAGCTAAATCGCTGGCCCTAGACCTTCTTGTTAGGAAAAGTAAGCAAGATCTCCTCGGAGGATCTTATATTGATAAAGAAATGGCAGATCTGGAAAGCAGATTCTTGGAATAGGAATCAGCAGAGTTAATTCATTTTTTATTCTTACTGTACATGTTGTGACTAGGTGTTGTGATGACTGCTTGTTTATAGATCGTTAAGTACTTGTGAAGCACTATGCAACATAAAAGTATTATTCTTCCCTTTACTTGTACAGTACAAAACAGGGACCAGTCTCCATTTACTGTGGTAATAGTGCTTTAGAACTCCATGTTTTATTTTCTTTTCAATTTTTATTTTTTATTAGTATGTTTGTAGTGTATAATGATCACATTCTTCATGGGGAATTGGTACATGTACACAACACACCTTAATTCTTTCATTCCCTCCCCTCCCCACCTCCACCTCTTGGTCCTTCTCCCATTTGCACATGACTCTCTCCTTATTTCCTACTCTTTTATTTTGCTCTTTATATTTTGGGTTTCTAATATCAGAGGAAATCATGTGATATTTAAGCTTGTGTGTCTGATTTATTTCAATTAGTATTATGGTATCCATTTTCCTACAAATGACTCCAATTTATCCTTCATGGCACAATAGTACTCTGTTGTGTAGAAATACCACATTTTCTCTATCCGTTCATCTATTGATGGATATATAGGCCACTTTCACGATTTAGCTATTATGAGTTATGCTGCTATAAACATGGATATGCATGTATCACTGTAATACGATGTCTTTAACTGTTTTGGTAAGATACCTAGAAGGGGAATATCTAAGTTGAATGAAATTTCTAGTTTTAGCTTTTTGAGGAATCTCCAAACTAATTTCCATTGTGGTTGTGCTAGTTTGCATTCCGACCAACACTGTAGAAGGATTCCTTTTTTCCCATAGCCTTGCCAACACTTGTTATTTGATTTAATGGTAGCCATTTTTTGTGGAGTAAGGTGGATCTGAGTGTTGTTTTAATTTGGATTTTGCTAATGGCCAGAGGCACTGAACATTTTTTTCATGTATTTAGTGGCCATTTGTACTTATTAGAAATGTCAGTTCATTTCATTTGCCCATTCTTTTTAATTGGGGCTTTTATTTTTAGGGGGGGAGGATGTAATTTTTTTTCTTTGAGTTCTTTATATATTCTAGATGCTAGTCCTCTGAGGAATAGCTGGCAGAAATTTTTCCTGTTCTGTAGGTTGTTGCCTATCTCTTCACTGTTTGTTTTTAAAACAATCTGAGATGACTGCATTTGATTCTTGATGTTATTTGCACAATTGGAGTTCTGTCCATGCCTACACCTATGTTTTCATGAGTTTTACCTATTTTATCTTCTAGCAGATTGTTTCTGTTTTAACATTCAGATCTTTGATGAGGAATATGGCTCTAGATTCACTATTCTATATGTGGCAGCCAGTTTTCCCACTGCCATTTATTAAGGAGGCTGTCTCTCCTCTAGCATGTATTTATGGCTGCTTTGTCAAAGATCAGATAGTTGAATGTGCCTGGAATTGTTTCTGAATCTCTATTTTGTTCCATTGATCCACGTCTGTTTTTATCCCAGTACCATACTGCTATTATCACTGTAGCTTTGTAATATACCTTGATATCTGGGATTATGATGCCTCCTGCGTTGCTTGTTGCCCAGGATTGTTTTTGCTATTCTGGGTCTCTTCTGCTTCCGTAAGTTTTAGGATTGTTTTTTCCACTTCTGTCAGGAATGCAGTTGGTATTTCGATTAAGATTGAATTAAATCCACATTATCAGATTTGGAAATATTGCCATTTTGACTATATTCGCTCTGCTTATCCAGGAAGAGGATCTTTCCGTTTTCTAATGTCCTCTTTTATCTTTTTTCAGAGTACTGTCATTTTTGTTCTAGAGGTTTTTCACTTCCTTAATTAGGTTAATTCCTAAGTATTTACTTTTTCTTGATGCTATTGTAAATAGTATTGTTTTCCTAATGTCTCTTTTGGTAAGCTTATTGTGTTGTACAGGAATGCCTTTGATTTTTGTGTGTTGATTTTATATCCTGCTACATTGCTGAATTTGGTTATTAATTCTAGGAGGAAACTTTTGATGGAAGTTTTGGGCCTAGTATGTAGAGGATCATGTCATCTGCAAATAATCTGACTTCTTCTTTCCTATATATATATATCCCATTTATTTCTTTTTCTTGCTTAATTGTTATGGCTAGTGTTTTGAGTACTACGTTAAACAAGTGGTGAGAGGGCATCCCTCTATACCTATTTTCTTTTTTTTTTTTTTTATACCAGGGATTGATCTCAGGACCTTTCACTTGCAAGGCAGGCGGTGGAACCACTGAGCTAAATCCCTGGCTCTATATCTATTTTCTTTAGTTGTTTTTTTTTTTTTTTTGGTACCAGAGATTGAACTTGGGACCTTGTGCTTGCTAGGCAGGTGGCGGAACCACTGAGCTAAATCCCTGGCATTTCTTTAGTTTAAAAAAATTTTTTTTAATCATGATTGGTTGTTGGATTTTGTCAAAGGCCTTTTTTGTCTATTGAGGTGATCAGGTGATTTTTTTCCCTTGTTTCTTTTTATGTGATATATTTATTGATATTCATATGTTGAACTATCCTTGCATTCCTGGGATTAAGCCTACTTGGTGATAATGTATGACGTTTTTGATGATTTGTTGCATTCTATTTACCAATATCTTTTTTTGTTTTTGGTACCAGGGACCAAACTCAGGACCTTGTGTTTGTGAGGCAGGTGTGATGCCACTGAGCTAAATCCCTGGCCCTCTATTTGTCAACATCTTGCTGAGGACTTTTGCATCTATGTTCATTAAAGAGATTGGCCTGTAGCTTTTTTTTTTTGTACCAAGGATCGAACTCACAACCTTGTGCTTGGGAGGCAGGCATCGGCACCACTGAGCTAAATCCCCAGCCCTGTAGCTCTTTTTTGCTTGGACCTTCGGGTGGTTTTGGAATCAGGGTATGTTGGATTCTAGGAATGACTTTGGGAGTACTCCTTCCATTTTAATTTCATTGAAGAGTTTGAAGAGTATCTATGATAGATCTTCCATGAAGTTCTTAAAGAATTTAGCAGTGAATCCACCCAGACCTTGGCTTTCCTTAGTTGGTAAGTTTATTACTGCATCAATTTTATTCCGTTACTAGTTTATAGTTTTTTATATCTTCTTGGTTCATTCTTGTTAATTCCTATGTACCTAGGAATCCATCCATTTCTTCTGAATTTTCCTGTTTATGGGAATATGTTTTTGAAGTAGTTGCTAATAATCTTCTGGATATTGGCAGTGTCCATTGTGATTTCACCTTTTTCATTTCTGATTGCATTGGTTTGCGTCTTTACTGTTTTTGCTAAGATTGGCTAAGGGCTTGTCTGTTTTATTTTTTCAAAAAACCAGCTCTTGGAATCATTGGGTTATTTACTTAGATTCACTTTATTTTTCTTATGTGGGCATTCCCAGCTATAAACTTTCCTCTTAGGACTGCTTTCATTGTGTACCCTAGGTTCCAGTATGTTGTACTGGCATTATCACTTGAGTTTAGGAACTGATTTCTTACTTGATTTCTTCTGTAACCCAATGACTATCCAAAAGTTTAAGTTTCCATGCATTTGCATAATTTCTGTGGTTTCTTTTGCCACTGATTTCTAGTTTCATTGCACTATGTTCTGACAATATGCACAGGATAATTTCGGTTATTTTGTGTTTCAGTTCTTTGCAAATGTGCTTTGTGGGCTAGCATGTGACGTATTTAGAGAAAGCTCCATGTGCTGCTGAGAAGAATGTGTATTCTGTTGTTTGGTGGAACACTCTGTGGGTATCTATTAAGCCTATTTGTTTGAAAGTTTGATTCAACTCTGGTATTTTTTGTCTAGTTGATCTATTTGTGATAGTGTGGTATTGAGGTTCCCCACTATACAGTATTTGTGTTGATGTTTAGCTCATCTTTTATGTCCAGTAGTATTTTATAAATGGATACGCTGATGTTGGTCCATGGTTAGTCTTGCAGTTCATAAATTTTTCTAAAATATATATAACCAGGGCTGGGGATTTAGCTCAGTGGTTCCACTGCTTGTCTTGCAAGCACAAGGACCTGAGTTCGGTCCCCGGTACCAAAAAAAATATATATATACACACACACACACACACACACACACACAGAAAAATAGTGTTGCCACTTGTCATTTTATTTCCATAGTTTATAGTGCAATCTTTTTAGTAAACATATGTAAGAACCATGTAAACATTACTAATAACTAGAGACTGCTTTATCTTTTAGAGTATATACCATAGTGGTAAGTAGGAAGGGCTTTAGAATCAGATTGTCTTGGATTTGAATCTTAGCTCTGCAATTTACTATTATTGTATCTTGGGCAAGTTCCTCTTTCTCATTTTCCTCCAAAATTGGTCTAAAAATAGTACTCAAGAGTATGAAAGTGTATTATCTGAAATGATTTTCTGCTTTTGATATTAAGGATAGGCCTAATTTATCTTGTGCTTATCCAACAGGTTCCAAGAATATTTGTCAATGGAACTTTTATTGGAGGTGCAACTGACACTCACAGGCTTCATAAAGAAGGGAAACTGCTTCCACTAGTTCACCAGTGTTACTTAAAAAAAAGTAAGAGTAAAGAATTTCAGTGACTTAGGTATGATAACTAGTGTCAGTTAAAGTGATGACACTTGATAAAATGTCTTTTAAATGACTTAAATATGTGAACTATCTCATGACAATTAAAAATAATGAACAATAAATCACTGTGGAAACCTCATCTTTCTACTTGCCAATTCTTAAGCATAAGATAGTATTTAAAACTGAAAGGGTGGTGTTGCATGGAAAAATGAGGTAAGAATGTGTTTTATTGTAATCGCATTTGAAATACTTTAGTCTGTACAATATTCAGGGATTAACTCTTTTCCTTTTATTGCTTTCAGTAATAAGTACTAATAATAATGTATGATTTCCTCTAAAATTTAAGGTTCACTGATACAGTTGCGAGCTAGGCAGGTATCTTCCATTGTATTATGAAAAGCATTCACACTTTATATTTCTAGAGCAACAGAAATGGAATGGAATGAAATTTATCTTAACAAAACCAAATCACTGCTTTAATGAATTAATAGTTACAAGGGGCACAAATGTACCTATGGGTGGAAATTAAAAGGACAACCATTTCAGCATTGTATGAAGATGGTTGATAGTTTGAAATGTATTTGAATTATATTGTGGAGTTTTTACTTTCAGAATATGCTGAACTGCTGTTGAAATGTTGTGGAGGGAACGAACTGTGGGATGGAGGTTGGGCAGAATGTTTCTGCTGTGGTTGGATGTGCCCCCCTAAAGTTCCTATGTTGGAAACTAATCCCTGAAGTAGCAGGGTTGAGAGGTGGGACCTTTAAAAGCGTGTCTAGGTCATGAGGGCAGATGGATTAATGCTGTTTTTGAGGGAGGAGCGTCTCGATAAAAGGATGATTTTTTTTCTGAGTTCATGAGCTATATTGTTCTTCCACTCCTTACAGTGGGATGATGAAGCAAGAAAGCCCTTGCCAGAAGTATACCACCTGACCTTGGGCTTCTCAGTCCAGAGCTGTGAGAAGTAAATCTGCTCATCAATAATTATTTAGTATCAGGTGTTCTGTTACAGCTACACAAAATGGACGAAGATAGTCCCTGACGTCATTTCTAATGTTGATATTCTGCTATTCTGGGAGCACTATTTAAATTGATTTCATTTCTGTTAAATTTAGCAAACAAGATTTACCCTATAGGAAGTCTTATTTTAGAATAACTGAAAATATTTTCATTGCTTTGTTAAATCAGTTTTCTAGCTTCCTATCAAGAATATTTTAAGTGTTTACCACACAAAATATTTTCCTACTTCATTCCCACAATCATATGGGGGCAGATTACCAGATGCTGAGAAAACTTCCTCAAAGGTGGAAAGAAAATAGATTTCCATAGAGTGCTTCTGTTTTCTGGTTAAGACAGATCAGGGAATTTAGGACAAATCGGCTTAAATTACAATTAAGTGATAATTCATTTGTTATAACATTGGAATGAAACAAAATGGAATATCTTGGTCCTTTATTTTTCATTATGTCACGAGAAATTTTACGTTTGCTATGTTGTAGAATCTTTGTTAAGAGAGTAGAGGAAATCTGTTACCCATTAGAAAGACAAAATTGTAATTGTATACCATCCTTGTTATATTGTTATTTATTAATTTATTAATTAAACTTTGAGACAGGGTCTCACTCTGTAATTGAGGCTGGCCTTGAACTCATTATGTAGCCCAGGCTGGCCTCAAACTTGTGGTGAAACTCTTCTAATGTCTACTTTATAGTGTTCGGAACGTTATATTCAATGAGTAATACAAAAAGGTACATTTAGGGGTCTCATACTGCATTATGAAAGGAGCATTTAGGAAGGGAGGTACTCTTAATTAAATGCTAAGGGATGAGAGAAATTAATGAAGAAATCTTACCTCTTTTTGGGGGGCTATAGTGCAGATTAACGTCTTTGAAAAATCCCCAAAATAGCAATAATACAAAATGTGCTCACCACTCTAAAATATTTAAAATGCTGGATACAATACTTAAAGACTGAGAGCTTTAATTTTAACTGATTTGCAAGGGACTAGTTACAAAGCTAGGGGTTAAGGGAGAGGGATTTATGTCGGGGACCACAACATAACATCACTAAATCTTCAGTGAAAATCGTAACTGCTACTCTGTGTCAGTTATTAGAGCAAGACAGAGAAGTGTTCAGATCACTAAAGGTATGACTAGCAGGTGGCTGACTTAAGCTTCCTGAAATCGCAAGTATCTTATAAAATACAGATAATGCTGCCTTTCTTTAGGGTTATTTTGATGAATGGAAATTTCAAATCACCTCGAATGATGTTTAGTATATGCTCAATATGTAATGGCTACTATTAATCACAATGGCTGAGTTATGTGTGATTCTCTTATGGATTCATCAGGGTAGGACAAGTTTTTCACTGTCTAGCCAAAATTTTAGTGAGAAGGGGGAGCTTCTGGGCTTCAGTGTTATCTTGGTGTTGATACCTGTATCTTGTCGCTTTTGTATCTTACAACTGGCTAAAGCTAATGTAAACCTGAAGCAAAACTAAGTTGTTCCAGTAGATTTTTTTCCCCTCCTGGAACCACAACTTAGAAAGGTGATCAATTTAAGAAGTTGATTGCATATATCAACCCACCTGTCATTCCTCCATTTTATTTTTTGGAGACAAGGTCTTACTATGCAGTTCAGGCTGGCCTTGATTGCCTTGATTCTGTAATGGAACTCTAATGGAAAAGAACTCCCAACCTCATATACTTTAATTAAATAACACTAATATGCAATTAGAGGCACTGAGAGAATAATGTGATGTAACAAAATTTAATTTTACTTTGTTTAATTATGAGATTCCTGAAAAGGCATGACCTTAAAATTCTTTTTTCTTAAATAAAAAGACAGTTATTTGATGTGCATAGAATTTATTTGGTACACCTGTCTATTTCTACAATATACTGACCAGGAACGGTTCACATAGTGCCCATCTGCACTCCATGTCTGAAATCATTTACAGGCTAAGCATCCCTAATTCCAAAATCTGAAATGCTGCAGAAATGGAAACTTTTTGAGCACCAACATGATGCCACAAGTGGAAAATTCCATACCTGACCTCATGTGATAGGTCACAATAAAAATGCAGGCACACTAAAAATTTTATATAAGATTACCTTCAGTCTATGTGTATAAGGTATATATGGAACATCTCCAAGATATCTCATTATGTATATGCAGATATTCCACAATCAGAAAAACCCTTCTGATCCCAAGCATTTCAGATAATGAATAATCAACCTACATTCAATAGGGTATTTTGCAAGGTTAGCACCAACATGATGCCACAAGTGGAAAATTCCATACCTGACCTCATGTGATAGGTCACAATAAAAATGCAGGCACACTAAAAATTTTATATAAGATTACCTTCAGTCTATGTGTATAAGGTATATATGGAACATCTCCAAGATATCTCATTATGTATATGCAGATATTCCACAATCAGAAAAACCCTTCTGATCCCAAGCATTTCAGATAATGAATAATCAACCTACATTCAATAGGGTATTTTGCAAGGTTGGAAGGAGAAAAGTCATGATTGCACAGTATTGGTGAAAACTTTTATCTGAAATAAATGTAATAATTAGTATATGCATCCATTCCAAATCAGAAAATAGCAAAATTACATTGTTAGGTGTATTATTTTTTTAACTAGAGATAGGTGTATTATTTACATTGAAAACGTGGAAGACTTGCCAAAGCAGTAATGAATAATCCTAGAAACTCCTAACTCCTTGTCATCCCCCTCCCTTTTCCCCTTTCAGGGTCCTTTCCTTGGAAATGAAATAAACTTGTTAAGCATCACACTTTATATTTATATACCTTTAAGCACCAGCTTGACAATTAAATGTGTTTTCAGTTATATAAAATATTCCTGCTTTGAAAGTCACGGTGAATGTAAAAATGTGAATGTAATTAAACAAATCACTGACCTGGATACTTTTTATTGCAATAGCCTTAATGTTTTAATATGATATATTCATTGCTTTGAATTTGCTTGTAGGCTTGAAACAAACTATTTGCCTTTTGTCTCAAAAATTCCCTTAGGGCCGGGGATTTAGCTCAGTGGTTCCAGTGCCTGCCTCGCAAGCGCAAGGTCCCGATTTTGATCCCCAGTACCAAAAAAGAAAAAAAATTCCCTTAAAACTTAATCATTTTTAAAACTGCACAACTGTATGTTTCATTCTTAGTGTTAGATATGCAACTTGGTCCTTGGAGGTCGTGTTATAAAATCCAGCTTCTTGGATAACTGCATATATAAAACAATAAAAAACCTTAAACATTTTACTGATGTTAACAGCCATGTATGTATGACATGTCACTGTACCCACTTTATCCTAGTAATGACTGTTTAAATTACTAATGTACAATTAGGTTTTAAAACTTAACAGTTAAATTTCCATTCATTATAGAAAATTAAAAGCTCTAAAAGACCCTTTGAATTCTGTACTTCAGAAATACTGGAACACTTATATTAAGGCATTGCTTAATAGACTCCAAAGAAAGTAACTAGTATGCCTGTAGAAGAGCGCTAGTCATATTTTAAGGCAGTCAAAAGGGTCATTTTTTCACTTTAAGGCTCACACACACTTTAATTCTGTGCAGACAGTCTAAATAAATATTCATCACATGGTCAAGGAAGGCAAAGCCTTCCTATAAAGTAAATGGAAAGTTTAGAACTAGATTATAACACTCTCCTTTCCAGTTGTTTTTAAAGATGATTTTATGTATCTCATCCCTTGTAAAATTTCTTCATTATCAGAAGCTGGCAATTAAAAAAATAACTCATACATTATAAAATTTATGTCTAGTCACATCATACCAAATATATAGTTTATATTTAGAATAGCAGTGCAACAAAGTTTTTCTCTGCTGCTGCCGATTAATTTATATTTTTAATTTAATTTGGTTGTACTGTATAGGGATCCTAAACAGTTTAAATTGCAAATAAAACCCAACAGTTCATTTAAACAGGAATTTCAATACAATGTTTGTATTGAAACAGCATTCCACATTATATTTGGGAATGATATATATACAATATATAAAAAATTTTAAACTTCATTACTCTTTAACAACCAAGTTTAATAGTGAAAACAAAAATGTAGCTTGTTGTTTGCTTCGTTCAAGTACGGATTCTGTTAACTTGTAAAAGAAATTAAGTGTACTTTAAAATTAATAATCACGTGTAGTGTTCATAAAGCTAATATGATCCATGCAGGATTAAATATAAAATAGATGGGAGGGTAAAAAATCTCCTTAGGTGGGGCTGGGGATTTAGCTCAGTGGCACCGTGCCTGCCTTGCAAGTGCAAGGTCCCAAGTTCAATCCCCGGTACCAAAAAAACCCACAAAAATCCCTTCGGATCAAAGGTAACTTTTGTGTATTTTCATAGTATTTACAAATTCACTGTAAAAAAAAAAAAAATCACCTTAGTTTCAGTAACAGTATTTTGGAATGTATTTTCCTTTCTACCATTTTCCAATATATACTGGTATTTTCAGAGTTTGGAAAATGTGCCATTTATTATAATCTTATTTGAATGGTATGGTTAACTACATTATCCATCTTATACAACAAAATACCTTAGAACTAATTTTTAATTATCTTCATATTTTTTCAAAAAACAAAGAAAAAATTTACTAATTGAAAATACTGAATGTCAATACAAGTTATTTACAAGGCTTTTCTTTAACACTGTAAGCTGTGTCGGGGGAATACATACTCAGTGAAATGCTAAATCAAAGACTTTGACTTTATGGAAAGATTTTATGGAAATAGGTGCTTGATTCATGATTTTCTAGAAGTGCTTATACAATAGAGTACTTCTCTTTTCAATGCTGGTAAGGTACATTTCTAATCACAAAGGGTGAATCAACTGAGCTTACCAGTGGCCACAAAATTTTTGGAAACATCTAGTATGAAAGGTATACAGTATAACTTGAATTGGGAGAGAGAATACATCTAGTTCTTTTAAGAGATCTGCCCATTATTAACTTGAAACAATAAGATTTAAATTTGTTGTAACAAAAAGGAATCTGCAGGAGATTCATCCCAAACTTAAATATATCTATATCTATACAGATACAGATATATATCTTAAAATGGATGATGAAGCAGATATTCAGGAAACAGTAAAGAAAATCTATACAATACTGATTTCATGGCTTATTTATCATTTTTATTTATTCTCATTCTTCCTTGTATGCGATTATATGGAGGATGTATGAGATTCTCTGGAGTACATAATACCTTAACAAATCATTCCATACCTGCAGTAGTTAGATCAGAACTTTTTTTTTTGGTACCGGGGATCAAACTCAGGTCCTTGTGCTTGCAAGGCAGGTGGCAGAACCACTGAGCTAAACAGCTGGCCTCTGAACTTTTTGTTTTTGATTACTCCATGGCAATCACTTGCCAAATATGTGGCAGATATGTTTAGGTCAAATTAAAATAAATTCAAGAAAAGATTACATTGTTTTGGCCTTTAATTATTTTTAGATGTAGCTTTATTGTGTTTCTAAAGATGTTTCTTGCTTAACTGTCAGATCCTCAAACTTAATTCAGGAATTCTGCTTCATCTTTCCAAAATAATTTTACATTGTTTTTGAAAAATCTAGAAAATAAGAAAAGAACCCAGACAAAAAGGTATTTTATCATTTGTAGACTTATTATTCAAATATATTAAAGAAAGCCAGACATGATGGTATGCACCTGTAATCCCAACACTGGGAGGCTAAGGCAGGAGAATCCTGCCCAGCCCAGGCAACTTAGCAAAACCCTGTCTTAGGAAAAAACAAAACAAAACTAGGGATTGTAGTTCAGTGCCAAAAGCCTTGGGTTCAATCCTCATTATTAGAAAAAACAAAAACATCAAAAATAAAACAACCGAATGATGTTAACAGCATCTCCTTATTTAGAGTATGAGAGTATTAGTTTTTCTAGGTCTTTCTGGTAAAACTCTTAGACTTCGGGTGTTTCTTTTTATCAGAGAATATAACTTCTTAGTACTTTATCTGTGAAAATTTTTCTTATACACTTTCCCACATTGAATGTTTTAAAGAATCGAGCAGTTTTTCTAAAGTTATTTTAATCTTTCAAAACTCACATACTATTAACACAACTTTTTATTTTTTTTTTGTGGTACCAAGGATCGAACTCAGGACCTTGCACTTGTGAGGCAGGTGGCTGAACCTCTGAACTAAATCCCTGGCCCTACATAACTTTTTAGAGACCTAACTTTTATTGCAAGTCTTTTTCCTAGTTTCAGCTTTTACATATTAAACTACTGATTCTTCTCTGATCCAAATATTAGGTTTATTACTTTTTTTCTTTTGGTACCGGGGATCGAACTCGGGACCTTGCACTTGTGAGGCAGGCAGCAGAACCACTGAGCTAAATCCCTGGCCCTAGGTTTATTACTTTTTGAAGATAGTAAAATTGAATTACGTATGTTAAACTGGTTGTGTACAAATCACATAGCAAGAGAAAGCAAAATAGGTTCCAAAGGGGTAATGTACATACTATTAGCAAACTGCTTCACTTAACAGTCTCATAAAATAGTTACCTAAATAAATAGTATAATGATTTTCTTTTTTTTTTTTTGGTACCGGGGATCAAACTCGGGACCTTGCGCTTGCGAAGCAGGCACTGGAACCACTGAGCTAAATCCCCGGCCCTAATATCATGATTTTCATAAATGGAATTTCTAAAACATTTCAACTAACAAGAAAGGGTGATATTAGTGGTTTTTTTGTTACACTTATATCTTGGAAATATTTACATAAGTATTATCTAGGAAATAAACTTTATTTTTCTTACAATTGTTTTTACAACAGTATTTCCCAAAATATTAATGTAATAGTAATCCTAAAAGTAAATGAGAAAATTAAACTTATTTATCACTTGAATGAGTGTATGTGCGTGTGTGTGTGCATGCGTGTGTGTATGTATGTATATGTATGTATGTATGTATATATATATATATATATATATATTTTTTTTTGTACCAGGGATCGAACTCAGGTCCTTGTGCTTGCAAGGCAAGCGGTGGAACCACTGGGCTAAATTCCCAGCCCACTTGAGTATATTTTAATCAAAATGAGGTAAAATCACTGTTTTTTCTTCTGACTTATATAGTAACAGGTTATTAAACATTTATTGTGCTTTGAGAATTACTATGAATTTAAAAATTATACATGTTCACAAGCTTTTTTTCTACTGCAAAAGTGATGATGTATAAGTTTTTTTCTTACTACCTAAAGAAGATAAAAGTTTTGAATAATTCTATTTTATTTCTTGCTCATCTGAGTCAATATGTTCTCATATTGTGGGGAAATGAAAACTGGACTGATGAAACCAAGACTTCTAGGTCATACTGTTGCAAAATCATAGTGTTACTCAGTTTTCTTAACAAAAATTAAAATATTAATTTTTTTAAGTTTCTAAGGTTTCCTTCAAGCTCTAACTTCCCTGTTTTGAAAATAAAATTACTTGTTGTGGTGGTGTCTTTTCTTTCTGTCTTAAATCTTACCCTAATCCATTTTATAAGACATACTTAAATACTTCAAAAGCCACCTCTGTTCTTTTTTTTTTTTTTGGTTCCAGGGATTGAACTCGGGTCCTTATACTTATGAGGCAGGTGGTGGAACCACTGAGCTAAAATCCCTGGCCCTAGATTAAGGATTTTTTTTTTTTTCTTTTTTGCCCGCCACTGTTCTTAATGATTTATTTAATATTAGCTCCTAGACTTACTCTGTATGTCTAAAAGCACTGTGTAAATAGTACATAACTGAAGAAATAAACTTTTATATTCTACTTAACATTTTTATTAGGAATAAAAAAGATCATGTTGCATTTTTAAATTTCAGATCTTAGGTTTAAATAATTTGAGAGCTTTTACATAATTTTTAGGTTCTTTAAATCTGAACATAATAT